AATGGAGAAGACAGGGACCACAGCAGGAGGCATCTAAAAAGACCTTAGGTTGTCATAAATTTTTTCACCCAGAGGCCAACCCAATGGCATAGCGGTTAAGTCTGTACGCTCTACTTCAACAGCCCAGGGTTCACAGTTTCAGATTGCAGGTATGGACCTACCCACTGCTCATCAAGCCATGCTGTGGTGGCGTCCCATATATAAGATGGAGGAAGATGGGCACAGATGCTAGCTCAGGGCTAATCTTCCTCAGCAAAAACAGGAAGATTGGGAACGGATGTTACCTCAGGACTAATCTTCCTCACACACACACACAAATTATCACCCAAACTAGGATCTTTGAAAGAAAAAGAGGGTGCTATTGATTATTAATCCGTGACAGCAGGAATTAAACTAGAATGTAACAGTCATCAATGTCTTAGGGGAAAAATTGAATTGTGACACTTATGAAGGTAAAGAAAAATGGTTGAAATGTGAAGTTTAGGAAAAATAATGCATATTATTTTTGTGTAAGTTTAAGGCCAACAGGACATACAAGTCAATTACTTTATGGGAAGAGAAAGCAAGTGACCTCTAAAGAGCTTAAGACTTGGACTGCTGGGAGATAATAATAGTAATTATGTATTACATTTACATAATGTTTAACGATTAAAATGCTTTCGCAGGCACAGCCTCATTTTCTCCTCACAGTAGCCCTTCCAGGTAAAGAGGGTGGTTATTAACCTCCCTGTACAGGAGATGAGGAGGAAGGGTAACATAGAAGAAAGCATACTTGCTCAGGATTCACTGATGTCCTTGAAAAGGTTACGTAGTCTCTTTTTTATTGAAGCATAGCTGACCTACAGTATTATGTTAGTATCAGGTGTACAGCATAGTGATTTGACATTTATATACTTTACAAAATGATTACCACAATAAGTCTAGTAACCATACAAATTTATTATAACATTATTAACTATATTCCTTATTCTGTATAGAACTTCCCTGTAACTTACTTAATTTATAACTGGAAGTTTGTACCTCTTAATCCCCTTCATCTGTTTTGCCCAATGCCTTCCCACCTTCCCTATGGCATCTACCAATTTATTCTCTGTATCTGTGAGTCTTTTTCTGTTTTGTTTTGTTTGTTTATTTGTTTTGTTTTTGGGAGTCCACATATAACTGAAATCATAGGGTGTTTGTCTTTGTCTGACATTTCGCTCAGCATAATACCCTCTAAGTCCATCCATGTTGTCACAAATGGCAAGATTTCATTCTTTTTTATGGCAGAGTAATATTTTATTATATATACCACAATTTCTTTTTTTTCTTATTGAGGTAACATTGGTTTATAACATTATATAAATTTCAGGTGTACTTCATTGTATTATGATTTCTGTGTAGATTACATCATGTTCACCAACCTACACCACAATTTCTTTATCTATTTATTTATTGATGTACACTTAGGTTGCTTCCATATCTTGGCTATTGTAAGTAGTGCTGCAATGAGAGTACATGCATATATCTTTTCATATTACTCTTTTTCTTTTCTTTTGTTAAATAGCCAGAAGTGGAATTGCTGGATTGTGTGGTAGTTCTATTTTTAATTTTTTGAGGACGCTCCGTCCTGTTTTACATTGTAAATAGATTGCTGCAGCAATTTACATTCCCACCGAGAGTGCACGAGAGTTCCCTTTTCTCCACTTCCTGGTCAACACTTGTTATTTGTTGTCTTTTTGATGATAGTCATTCTGTTATGTAACCTCTTTAAGCATCAATTTTTTTACCATAAAAAAAATAATAATGACAATGAAGCTTAAAGTGTGTATATATATGTCTTATTTAGTCTAAGATCAAGGCGTTGGCAGAGTTGGTTCGTTCTGAGGGCTGAGAGGGAAGGATGCGGTCCAGGCTTCTCTCCACGGCTGTCAACAGCCATTTCTTCCTGTGTCTTCACATTGTCTTCCCTCTTCACCTGTGTCCACATTTCCTCTTCTTTAAAGAACACCAGTCATATTGGATTAGGGCCCACCCTAATGATGTCATTTTAACTTAATTACCTCTTTAAAGGCCCTATCTCCAAATATGGTCACATTCTGAAATACTGGGGGTAGGGCTTCAACATATGAATTTTGGCAGAGGCCACAACTCAGCCCATAACGCTATCATCTAATCTAATGTAACCAATTTATCTATCTAATCTATCATCTAACAGTAACTACAGTAATTGTTCAGGACTTAGACTAACACAATTTTTGTGTTTTTTTTAGCAGGAGTACTTTATCACTGACATTGTTTTGAAAGGCCAGCATGTTAAGATAATAAAGAGTAGACTCAATATTTAGCTGGCTGTATTATCATTTTTAAATTCTCTACACATAGAGTTACCTCTTATTGCTTGAACCTGGTAGGGGTCACTCCCATCACCCGCTCTTGGTACAGCCCGTGGGAGTCAGCCTCCTTAAGATACTGATTAGAGCACAGGAAGGAAAAGGAATGGATCTGAGGATAAACAGTTGATGGACAGGCCCACTTGTCCATCCATGTGTGTTATGCTGTGTTTTTACTGAGTCCCAGTGACTAGGACTTTTCGGATGCTCTGTGCCACTCTTGGATGGGTAAGAAATATTCTTCTGTTGCCATAGCGTTCTAGCTGTGAGAAACTTGGCAAGATTATCTCTTGATCTGTCAGACTAACACTAAACACATCACAGAGATGTTTCTTATCTCTCAGCACTGTGAAGGCATGAGAAAAACTGTCAAAATCCTTGGCTCCACCTGCCTCAGGACACAGAGCATTTCTACCCTAAAATTCTAAAACCCAACTGAAATCTTATCATTTCTCTGTGTCCCATTCCCCAGGAATTGGACTTGGGAGAGCCCACAGGGTCCTTCCTGGGGACACATTGATATCCAGACCATCTTAACTCTTTTTATTTTACCTTCACCCAAAGAAATCACTTTATAATTTTAAGAGTTAGGAAAACCTGGTTCTAATTGAGCCATTTTGTTCTTCATTCACAATCTTCTCAGAATTTAGGCTTTTCAACCTTAAAACAGAAGAACTGTTTTTAAATTTCTGAGTTCTATTATTTCATTCCTTCCCTGTGGGAGGAGGAGTTCTCTATTAGCTAAAATCTCACGCTATTATACTGCATGTATATTGTTTCTTGATCATTCCTGAAATATTTGTTAAGTCTCTACTTAGTACTATCGTTGACTTCTTGATCTTCCATATTAGCTATGTGACTTTGGCCAAGTCATATAACCTTGCAAGTTTCAGCTCTTTGGGTTGAAATGTGTTGATAATGATATCTACATTGTCTACATTATACCGTGGTTGTGAAGAGCAAGTGAGTCCAACAAAATGTTTTTAAATATGTCAAGCATTTTTTGCAAATGAAAAGAATCATTAGTGTGCATTTAATTAAATTTGTAACCTACAAAGCATGAGTCTTTTAAAAACATTTTCAACCATCTGTGGCTAGATAATATTACATTTTCTCTCTTTCCCTGGTCCCCATTCCAGAAGGTAGCCAGTAGTGCATTTCACTGGCTCAATGAAGTATATATAGCAAAACTGAAGGCAGATAGCCTAGAAAACTTTTAATTTTCATTTATTCATTTTTTCTTCTGAAAGACTAAGCCACTATAGAATTGTGTAAAATTTTTGACCATAGAGGAGATGGAGGTTTGTGGATGTGATATTAAGAAAAAAAAATCTTATGGGAGAAGGAAGAATGTCCTTCAGCGCTGCTTGTAGACAGCTGGTAACTAAATCAGCAGGTCGGCTTTCGCCATGACTTTGGGAAGTGGTGGCATAGAGCATCTCAACACTGGCTGCATGGGAGTTTTCAAAGTTCTCCTAGCAACTCTAGTACGCTGGCAGGGTTAAAATCCACTGATCCAAGCAGCCAAAACAAGAGAATCTCAAAAAAGATTTCCACACGTGACAGAGAATTGACAGAGCTGAGAAGCCTAAAGGGACCGACCGTGTGGGCAGATAAAATCAATAGATGTCTTCTCAGTAACCTATACGGACTAATGATCATGAACTGATCCCCTGAACCTACCACCTCAAAACTGCTTAACCCTGCCTAAGACTCCAAGAACTGTGTAATATGTGGGAAAATACTCCAGAAGTTGAATTTAAGTTAAATTTTAGAAAATAAAGATGTATTTCTTGCATAATTTGGGTTGTGGTATGAGATTTATATCATAATGCATCTTGAAATTCATTGAAAATCATTAAAATTTGTTTTTGTTGTAATAGGGAAAATATTGCTGCTAAGTAGAGGAGGCAGAAATAACTTTTCCTGAAAGTACATCTTGATGAATGAAAGAGCCAGTGAAAGAATTCCTGTTCCTAAAATTTTGCCCTATATTCAGTAGCTAATGTTATCGTTAATAATTCTCTGATTCCACTCAGTGTTACATATTTTTACCTTTTGATCCAGTGGTTAGCAGGACAGCATGCCTTGTTTAGATTCTGGAACCCATCCTACTAGGCTAATTACTTCTTCTAGTGAGCTAAAAGGTAAGACACATGATTCCATGACAACTTTAAGCATATGTCTTGCTTTCCTTGATGTCTTACTTATTTGCCTGTATATGATAAATGACTCCTTTTCAACACACCCAATTTTTAGGCCTTTCTGAATTAAGTCTGAAAAAGAAAACAATCTTAGGAAAAATCTATCTAAATCATTGCTTTTCTGTTTTTTCTCGCTATTATTTGAAGATATTTGCATTTATATGGCCTTTATCACTAACGTACTATTTTATATTACCAAGGGTAACACTTACTGAAGCCTTGCTGGTGGTTTGTAGAATGGAGTGAGGGTTTGACACTAACACCTAGTCTTGAATTATTTCCTATTTAATGTTTCAGAGTTACTACATGATCTTTGGAGGATAGAAATTCAGTCTTAAATTGACCCTGCTGTTAAATATACCAACATCATTGAAAATATGTAACAAGTTTATTTTATTATAATAAGGATGGACATGCAATAAACATTTGGTGAACTAATTTAATCTGTTCATTGAAATTATATACTGTAAATTAAATACATTTTTATTATATAATAAACACAATATTTGAGGAGTTAAAAATGAATGCATAAATATTGATTGATTCGCAAGATATTAGAGATGCTCAGAAGCAACCCATAGGAGTAGCCTTGCTCCACAAACACTCTCTACTCGTCCCCATCCTACCCCCTACACACATTTTTAACCTTGATATTAGCATGTATACACGGGAAGTGGAAAACTGAGAAAATAACACATATAATTCAAACAAAGCAGAATGCCTTAGCCATACCTAGGTACTTACGAGAGAGAAAAACAGGAGGTACTTATTTTAGCCTGACTAATTGCCTGAATCATTACCTTGATTTTTCGTTTTCCTTGGCATGTGTAGACCTGTATAATGACTAAACAATAAAACAAGGAAGAGAAACTATTGCCTTCAACACCCAAACCTCAATCCCCTAGTTAGGACCATATTTCCTCTTGTATGAGGAGTGTTCGTAGGTTCCATTGATGTCCTTGTTAAGACTGATACTTCCGTTTGCTTGTAAATGAAAATTATAGGTTGTGAAAGCATACGACTTTTCACTTATAAATTACTTTCCTTTGAATATATAATTCTAAGCAAGTTTGACTGTATAAATTAGATGCTTTAAAATCCATCTTCTTAAATGTCCTAAGAGAAATAAGAGGTCCATTTTCCTTAAGTGTTTATTCTAGTACATTTGAGTTTCCTAAAGGAATAACAAATCTTTTCATTGGGTGGTCATTTCCATATTTGATAAACTCAACTAAAAAATCCTTATTTGATGTCTGTTATTTTTCAGGTTGTTTAGAAAAGAAAAAAAAATCATCATTTTAGTTGTTACTATGTTAGTATAAGAAATAATTTGAAGGAAAAATAATTGATGTCATATTTTAGAATATATCTTATTGCCATGTATTATCAATCTCAATATACTTTGGGTTTCTTAGCAGATAATATATGATTGTCAAAAAGAGTAGTCTATCATTATACTAAGGATTGTGGATATATTTGATTTTAGACTACAAAAATTGGAATGGGGATTATTTGAGTCCAATAATATAGCAAATGCATTTAATACACATGAGGTCAGAATGTCCAAATTAAGCCATTTCTATTCCTACCACAGGTGACAAACTACAATCTATATGCCCTTTCTGCTTTTTATCTCAATTTAAATGAAGTTATAAAGCAAGTTCTCCTGCCTGACATACTTACAGCTTCCGTCAGGACTCTATAAAACACATTGATCATAATCCGTAGTTTGAGCCCAAAGTAAGCATTAGACATAACTGGTGGAGGTCCTACTTAGCATTGTCACGTTCCTTCGCTTATCTGTGTGTGGCACAAAATGTCCAGGGGCTGGATATCTAAGCCTTTGCTTCTTTCTGTTGCAACAGCAGAACGCACATAGCAGACTCCCTCCAATGAAGAGGACAGCGGTGCTTGCCCAGCCGAGGAAAAGCGCTGCTCCCAGCTCTCGTTTCCGACCTATGTTGATGGCTGGGTTGTAGAAATCTCTGATGATGATATTGGCTGTCCAGGACACCGGAATCAGAACGAAGATGCCCGTCAGGATGAAGAGCACTCCAGACGTTCCCAGAAGGTACGCTTTAGTCCTCTCGTTAGATCCCGTGCACTGGATCTGCTTCATGCCACAGATGCCAATAACCAAAGCAATCAAGGAGAGAGCAACGGCCACACACATGAGGGCCCGGGCCGCTTCTAGGGCAGGTGGGAGAGCCAGTAAAGAACTATAGAACTTGCACTGCAACCTGACCCTGGCTTGTCGGACGCAGGTCATCCAGAGCCCTTCCCAGAGCCTTTCAAAGACAATAATGTTGCTGCCAATAAAAGCTGATACTCTCCACTGCGGCAGAAGGGTGGTGGCAAGAGTCCCGATCATGCCGAGGAACCCAAGCACCAGTCCAGCAATTTGCACAGGGTAAAATGCCATCGCCTTTACTTTGAAGACTGAGCCAGTCTGGAATGGAGGCTGCTAGAGATCCGGAATGCGGAGGCCTCTTTGAGATGACAGCAGTCTCTAATGCTGTTCTCCACTGTTACTGCCCATAACATTTTCATCCAAATCAGCAGCAGTGGCTGAACTTGGCTTAACTAGAAGTACCTGTTGTAAATGCATGCTGTCTTTGTACACACACATTCATTTCTGTATGGATTATTTACTAGTCATGTATAATTATTCCCCAGCCAATAAGAAGATAGCCAGAGGTGTGTCAAGAAATACAACGTTCAACTTTAGTATTTCTCATATTATTATTGTCTTAGCAATGCTGTGATTAAGTGTCAAAGCTTCCATTGTGGATTGCTAATTACAGCGCTGAAAGCTTCCTGTCTGAAAGTCACTGATATAAAAGTATAAATTTGTATGTTACACCGTAACTGAAGACAATACCAAAATCTTGCCAGTTCTTTGGAGAGCAGTTGAAAAACACTTTGGACTTTAGATGATCTACTGCTGTCTTTTGATCTAACTGCCTTTCTTGAATAAGGTTAATCAATGCTGGTTTTAAATAAGTCTTCTGGATATGGAGAAATGTTTAGGTATTAGTTTCAAGACTTCTACTAAAACAACTTATAGTTTATAAAAGGAGGAGTCTTAAGCAAGAAATTCAGATTTCACAATTTATTCTTCAGATCCAGAAAGGAAGGACCAAGGGAGACACTCTTTATAATTGAACTTACTTATTTATTACATTATTTGTTGAGTAACGTCCTTCTCTCTGGTGAAATACTGTTTAGTATATAAACTTTCATGAGATGCTTCTTCAATGGCAGATTGAAATATATCACATTTATCCAAGCTAAAAACATATATTTCACTTTTACAGAACAATATGAAAGTGCTCCTTTGGATTAGCTATGCAAGTACTTAAATTTGGATAATAGACAACTTTTTAGAGATGGAAGGTATCTTCAAAGACATCAGGCTTAAGTCTCTCACTTGCCAGATGTGGAAGGTGAGGTCTTCAGAGTGCTTGGCTAAACTAGCTATGCAGTAACTAATCCAGGGATAAATGTGGTCTCTGTCTTATTAGGCTTACCTCCTTTTTCTGATCTGACTCAAAAAACAGGATGGAGAGATTTTTTTTTGTGCATTTTTATATGAATGGGTCTAAACCTGAAATTGAATGCTATCTCTTCAATAGTTTTTCAAATTTTCAAAGCAAGCAAAGTTCAGTTGAGACTCTTTCAAAATCTAAGAGTCAAATTGTCATCCTTGACTGCCGAATCCCCGCCATTGCCCAGCATAGGGTGAGGAGTGAGCTTAATGTGGAAAGCACGGACCTTTCCCCTTTTTCTTTCACATCAGACTGCAAGGAATCCATTGCAGGGATAAAAACTACTCAAAGACAAGCACGCCAAGCATACTCCAGGTGGCAGACGTTATGATTTGCAAAAGGTCCTCCATTTCAGTCAACCACAGGCCAAGAGCTAATATATTGGTCCAATACCAACAAGATTTAAAGATCCTGTTAATTGAATTAGGAAATGTGGAACCATTGAGTTTTCAAGATGGGTGGTCTAGCTAGCTCTCTCTCTCTCTCTCTATCTATCATCCACCTATCTTTGTTGTTATTGTTGCTTTCTTAGTACCATCCTAGACCAAATGAAAACTCCTTCTCTAAGGAGTGTGAATCATTGAGGAAACAGATGACCTCTGTGTAGTTCACAGTTTCTTAACATCAGCTCAGGATGAAGGGCTTACTCTGTCCTTTGTTCTAGGCTTCTGAGACACAAGTTTAACCGTTCCCACCCTGATGGGATTTTCCGACATTACTCTGACTTGTTACTTCCAACCCTTCTTCCCCATTCTACTTCCTCTTCCTCATTCTGTCTCATTTTTAATCCTATCTTCATTTTGTCCTGAAAGTTTCTAACTTATTGTTCTTTTCCAATTTGTTTGACATTTCATCAGATAGAACATCTGGTGTGTATCACAGATAAACGCAGTGAGAGTATATGTTTACTTGGAACATGGAGGTACGTCCTGAAGATAAGGTTATTCTGAGAAACACAAATAAGGTAAGAGATTTTATTTTTTGCCCCTTACAGCCAAAGCCAATTGTCAACACTATGTTTACTTTCTCTTCTTTACATTTAAGGGGAGATGTTGGGGCCAGCCCCGTGGTGGCGTAGCAGTGAAATTCGCACGTTCCGCTTCTCGGTGGCCCAGGGTGGGCCGGTTCAGATCCCGGGTGCAGACATGGCACTGCTTGGCAAAAGTCATGCTGCGGTAGGTGTCCCACGTATAAAGTAGAGGGAGATGGGTGTGATACTAGCTCAGGGCCAGTCTTCCTCAGCAAAAAGAGCAGGATTGGAAGTAGTTAGCTCAGGGCTAATCTTCCTCAAAAAGAAAAAAAGCGGGGGGAGATATTGTTTTCATCTCCAACTTGTCTGTAAATCTTACTCCCTTCACTCCCTTCGACTTCCTCAAGGGCCCTTGCCCCATTGATCATTCTCTACCTTCTTTGTACCTACATCCTCTTCCTCTCTCTGAGCTGTCCTTAAGAATATAAACATACTAAGTTCTCTTCCATATTATAATTCCTTCTTGCCAGATCTATACTCCCTGTTATTTATTCATATATTATCTTTTATCCATCTCTCACATTTTCCACTGCTCTATCACCGAAGTCTACTTTCCATCATGATGCCACCCACTAAAACCTACTATAAATGTGACAGACTCCCTGGACCTCCTAACTGTTATCTCCAGAGAACACTTCCATATCTTTGCTTCATTGACCTTTCTGTAAAGGTCAAAAGACCATTTCCTAATTGAGGCAGTAAAGAGCACGTGTTTTGGATAGAAACTTGCTTCAGTTTTGACTTGATGCCTTAGCCATCAACTTGGGGCATGTTTTTGAACTCCTCAAAATTCCTGTCCTACAAAATTAGGACAAGAGCACCAATCTCATGGGGCTGCTTTCAAGATTAAATTTCCCGGAATGTGTGCAAAGTACCTGGCCCTGAGCAAGCACCAGGAGATGTTTGCTGTAACATTTGTCTCTTTTGCCTTTGTTATATTATCCCACTTATTACTTCTCCACCTGCTCATTCTCGGTCTTTTCTCTCCATAGGTGCCCTTACTCATGTTTGTTCTGTCTGTTTGTTCTAGGCTTCCACATAAACCTCAATACTCTTCTCACTCAGCACACACTCTCTAGGGAGTCTCATCCATGGCCAGAGCGTCCACTACTTCCCGTCAGACTACAAGCTCCACATCTGCTAGCTTCAGCTCAGGCCTCTTTCTGTTTATCCCTGAGTTCCTTTTTTTCTCTCAGACTCTCAGTCAGTATCCACCCACATGCTCCTTCCAGTTGCTGAGAGTGCTACTGGCAGATGGCCCTCAACTGTCAGCCCCCTTCAGCAATGGCCTGAAAACAGCCATCTCACTCAAGTCATTCCCATTCAAGGGGGCAGCTCATATCCAATGAACGACTGAACGACTGATCAATATAGAAGTACAAAAGTCCAGCCCACAACTAAGGGTTAACTCTGAGGGGCCATCCCAGCTCCAGAGCTTACTGTGGACTTAGCTCAGGCATTCATTGGGTCTGCACCACAACTTGACTTCTCCTCCTATTCAATCCTCTTTTGTCCCTTCTTTCCCTCAGGTGTTGATCCCAAGAACACTCCAAAATAAACATAATGCATTTTAATCTTCACCTCTGAGTCTCCTTCCCGGGAAACCCAACCATTGATTGACACCTTATTATAATCTATTAAATATGTTTCCTGGTTTAACATTGCTGTGCCTTAATTCAGTCTTTCAACATCCCTTACCTGAATCACTTCAATAATGTCTTACCTATCTCTTTGCTTCTGGTCTTTCTCCTGTCTCATCTATACTCCACTGGAGACCACAAAGACCTTGCTGAATCAAATTCTGAACATGCCAGTACCTTGCTTACCTTTTTAAAATAGTTCCCAATTGTCTCCAAGATAAAAATCCAAATCCCTTAGCATGATGAAAAGACCAATCCTAGAATTGGCCTCTGCCTAACTTTAAAATTATCTTCTGACCATGACTCCGTTCCACGTCTTCACAGAGTTTAGATTAATGAGAGTAGTAAACGTTAAACAAGCAATTGCAAAAATATACGTAATCACAAATTGAGATATAGTTATGGATAAAAAATATAGGGTATAAAAATGTAAAGTATAAAGAGAATATAAACAGGTGAAACCTTAATTTTAATTATGAGGTGAGAAAAAGGTCTTTAAAATGTCAATATTTAAGCCGTAACCTGAAGTTTGAGTACGAATTAGGTCATCAGGTAAAGAGTGGAACAAGAAGCATTCTAAGTGTGGGTGACTGTCTGTGTTAAGGCACTGAGGCCAAAGAGAGCTTGGGGCCAATGCAAATGAAAGGCCTTGAGCATGAGGAAAGTGAGACCTGCAATGAGGGGCAGATGAGGCTGCAAATGTAGGCACAGTCCAGATAGCAGGGCAATGTCAACCATTTAATTATCTTCTCCTAATATCAATACAAAGCCAGCTAAAGATTTTAAGCATGGAACTGACATGATCAAGTTTTCTTTAAAAAACAAAAAACCTCATATTGCTACTTTGGGGGAATGGATTGGAAAGGCACAAAATTGAACATGAACAAACCGATTAGAAGGTTATTGCAATAGCACAAATGAGAGAGGCTGGAAGTTAGCTTAGGGAAGCTGCAATGTAGAGGAGTGGATGGACCATGCTATGTATAAGACTTATAATTGGCAAAGGTGGGTGACGAGCTAGAGGTTGGAAAACAAGTCAGAGATGACTGTCACGTCATGCATGAGCATCATTATACACAGGGGTGCTATACTGAGGTGTGAGATGCTGAAGGGTGGGCGACATTTAAGAAACAGATCAAGACCTAAGTTTCAGGTGTGAAGTCTGGGTTGGTTGTGAGCAATTAGAATTTTTGTAACTCATAGGAAAAGTCTGGATTGTACACATATGTCAGAATCCACAACCTCCATCCTGTCCACAAATTATCCATGATTGGATCACAATCAGTAATAGGAATCTGAAAATACTGACTTATTCTGTCATCATGCCCTCCCATGTTTTGTTCTGAGGTCTTAGAGAATCTAATCTAGGTTGAGGGTTTTTGACTT